AGCTTAACAGCCCGGTCACATCAAGCCCGACTTTGAAATTGTGCGACTTACAGTGAAGTCGCACAATTTCAAAGTAGGATGACCTGCCGATTTCAGGTGCGATTTGCAAGACATCTGACACAGATGCCTATGCAAATCGCACCAAAAGTAGTGCATGTACTATTTTAGAAATCAGTGTGGATCCGACCAAGTGGGAACTGCACCAATTTGTCCGCTCTAATTGCAGGGTTTGACTTGGCATACGATTCGCACGTCGCAACCAGGGTGGTAACGGGAGTGGTAGGGGATGCTAAAAAGCCAGCTGCTAAAAGTGCTTAAAGCTGTATTAAACCCTAAACCAAAAATGTAATCTATTGCAGCCTACCAGTCATTAGATGTGGTGGCTGCATTAGTTCTTTTTTTTTTTTTTTTTTCAGCTGACCAGTAACACACCTTCTGTATTAGTGTGCCTCCACTCTGGCTGTAAGAGCACAGGGGGCACCTTTTGGACATCAGCATTGACAGTCCCGGGGGGGGAAGGGGAGTGTTAGATGCGCTAGCAGATTTAGATACACTAATAAATGGAAGCCAGAGTCCAGTTAATGCTTTATAATCAGTTAGAGAAGTAGTCTCCAAACTGCCGCCTGGGGGGCCAGCTGTGGCCCTTAGCTTGCTTTAATCTTAATTTTCATTCACTGATAGCAACAATGGGGCACGATTCCCCCCACTGACACCAATGAAGGGGCAGAATTCCTCCCAATGAGACCAACGATGGGGCACTATTCCTCCCAAAGACACCAATGATGGGGGACAGTTTCTTCCAATGACACCAACAATGGGGCCCAATGACACCAATGGTGGGGCACGATTCCTCCCACTGACATAAAAGATGGGGTATTGTTTATTCCCACTAACTTTGTTCTACCTTTTCTACTTCTAATGGCCACAGTTTGCATCCCCCCCTTAAAGTTATACTAGTCTTTTTTTTCTTTAATAATAAACATGTCATATTTACTTGCTCTGTGCTGCGGTTTTTCACAAAGCAGCCTGGTGCTCCTGGCCCATCCCTTCTGTCAGATACCCCCAAGCAGCTTGCTATGGGGGCACCGGAGGAGGTGCGACTCTGTGTCCATTTACACACAGAGTTGCAGCTCAGCTCCCTCCCCTCACTGGCTATGATTGACACAGCCAATCGGGAGTGAGGGTCCGTGCAGAACTGAGGCTCTCAAGAACACTGCTGGATCGGGATGAGGCTCAGGTAAGTGCTGGGGGGGCTGTTACATGCAGAAGGTTTAGAACCATAGTATGCATGAAGGTAAAAAACCTTGATCCTTTAGAACCACTTTGTCTGAAGGGCAGTAAACTGGTCCTTTGTTTAGAAAGTTTGGACACTCCTGAGTTACAGCAACATTTTTTTTTTTTTTGCATTAAAGGTTTCACATAAAAGCTGATCATTGTACGCACCCCTGTCAGCAGCGCCATGGATAAAGGGGTACTATCAGTCTTCCTGTATGGGGCCCAGGTCAGCAGGGGGGGGCCCAGGCAGCTGGGTAAATCGGATGTAGGCAGGGTGGGTGATTGACATGGTGGGGAGGGGGCAATCACTGGAACCGATTCCCTGTATGGCTCTCTCTGCAACAGCTAAAAGCTGACTTCTTCTCCTTCCCATCCCATTGGCTTTCAGCTGCTGCAGAGAGAGCCATACAGAAGATTGGTTCCAGTAATTGACCCCCCCCCCCACAGTGCACCCATCACCCTCCTTGTGCACTATATATTTCCTTTCCATCCTATTTGAAGTGATACCTGCTTCCCTTCTCTTTCCCACTAGCAGCTGCATAGAATCCTTCAGGGTGGAGAGTGGGGGAAGGGTCTGGTAAATGTCACAATTACCAACCCCTTCCTTTACTGAATGAATGCAGAGAGACCACCCAGGGCTGCTGTTAGAAATCACGGGGCCCCTTACAGCCAACCTGACAGCGCCCCCCCCCCTAAAAAAGAAAAAACTGTTTTCCGTTCTTCAGTTATGAATGAACACATTGAGTGATCAGTACCAATCACTCGCTGTATTCATTCATAACTGAAGCCTAGTAAACTGTGGGGTTTTTTTTGGGGGGGGGGGGTGGGAGGGGGGCAGGCCCTGTCAGGTTGGTTGTATGGGGCCCCAGTGGTTTCTAACACCACGCTGCCTGTCAGTAGTAAATGGTTGGTCTCATCCCTCTAACTCAGTGGTTCTTAACCTTTTTGGAGGTACTGAACCCCACCAGTTTCATATGCGCATTCACCGAACCCTTCTTAATTGGAAAAAAAAAATATGATTTTTAAAATTCAAAACATAGGTATATATTTATACATAGGTGCACAAAATGAACAAAACCATTAAGAACAAAGAACAAAACCATTAAAACATGATTTTCACACAAAAACAAAATAATGAATATTTACCGCAAATCAGTGTGACTTCTGCTGTTGTCTTTCAGAGGCCAGTTCAGAAATGCGCGGCATTACCTTGGCAAGTGCCACTCTCATGTCATTTTCGCAAAACAAAGTCTGTTCCTTTTCTTCGTCTTTATGTCCAGCATCCTCGAAAAGGATTGCTCGCAAAGATATGTTGTAACAAACGGTATGAAAATTCATCCCCCATAGTAATTCATCCCCCATATAGTAATTCATCCCCCATATAGTAATTCATCCCCCATATAGTAATTCATCCCCCATATAGTAATTCATCCCCCATAGTAATTCATCCCTCATAGTAATTCATCCCCCATATAGTAATACATCCCCCATATAATAATTCATCCCCCCTATAGTAATTCATCCCCCATATAGTAATTCATTCCCCATATTAATTCATCCCCCATATTAAGTCCCCAAGTCCCCCCTGTGTCAATTCACTTACCTTTGCTCCGCGCGTTCCTCTCGCTGTATTCCCGCGCCGTTCCGGTCTTCAGGGCGGACTGTGAGAGGAGCCTAGCTCCTCTCACGTTTGTCACGCTGCCCCGCCTACACACATCCTGACAGCCAATCACTGGCTATCAGGATGTGAGTGGCAGCGAGACTGGCCAATCATTGCATTTGAGTCCCTGCCGCCCGAGAGGAGGGAGGGGAGCGAGCGCCCGGCACACAAGAGCCGCGGCTTGCCGACCACTGGGCTAAGCGATGTTGCGTGACCACCTGCAGCCAATGATGGACAAGCCGGGCATGTCATCACAAATCATATGAGTCGGGTGTGGGTCACCTCCGCCGAACCCCCGAGACTGACTCACCGAACCCAGGTTAAGAACCACTGCTCTAACTGCTACATCTACAGGTCGACGTGTTCTTTCAGAAACACAGACTTTACAGGGTAAAAATAAAGGGAAGAAAGGCTAAAAAAAGAAAAGGAATGCAGCCATCACATGATGCTAGGAACTGGTAAGCTGCAATTTAATAAAGGTCTGGGTACTGCTTTAGAAATGTGAGGGTTTAGTATCACTGGAGCTGATCTGTCAGTCACATTTATTGCATGTATTTCTACATTTCTCTGACTTTTGATCTATCAGCTGCTGAGGTTCTCTTGCTATGATGTCCTGTTCTTTTCAAACCTTGCCCACTAAGAAGCCATCTGTCTTTGTGTTTGCACCCTGCTGTTCCCAGGGCTCGATCCTCCCAGCGCCCTGTGTGTATGGACAGCGTACAATTTATTTTGACACTTTGTAATAAACAACATCAGTAGGAAACTTTGACACTCGCCCTGGCTGCGCTGCGCAGAGCGCTCGCTAGGGGCGGTGTTGTCCTCCGCCCGTCCGAGGACAGGCTTCCTGGTTGCGCTCAGAGCGGCAGCGGCGGCGGACTGACGAGAGGCGCTGATCTCTGCAGCGGAGCCCCGGCTGGGTGTCAGCACTGACTGGAGGGACGGGGGAGGGCTGCATCCACTGCTGATCCCAGTGCCAGCCCAGGGAGGGGTGACAGAAACTTTCTAGCTGCATGCCCAGCCTGCGGGGAAGGAGCTGGTGCAGTCACTGCATGCAGTAGTCCTGCTCAGCACCCGTATGCGGGTAGGTGGACCTCCAGGGGGTCCTGGAATGGCCAGGGTGCCGGCAGGTGCACAGCCTCATTGACTTCTCTGTAGAGTCACCAAGGGCTCCAGGGTTGGATCTTCACCTGGCCAGCACACAGCTCTTCACCAGGTATATGGCTGGGACCATGAGGTTCAATGGCAACCTGAAGCTGAAGATAGGGGAGGCGGTGGGTCTGCAGCCCACCAGATGGTCCCTCAGGCATTCGGTGTTCAAGAAGGGCTCTGCGCTGCTGGACCCCTACATCACCATCAACGTGGACGAGTGCACCATTGGGAAGACCACCGTCAAGCACAGGACTAACAAGCCCACCTATAATGAGGAGTTCTGTGTCACCATATGTGAGGGCAGCAAGATGGAGCTGGCCGTCTTCCATGGCACCCCCATTGGGTACGACGACTTTGTGGCCAACTGCACCATCAGCTTCCAGGAACTTCTACGAAGCTGCGGACCCTCGGATTCTTTTGAAGGATGGGTAAGTCGTTGGTGCTGGCTAATTAATTGTATGTATATATATGGTTCTGCTTGGCTACGAAGGGGTCCTGCTCTGTGATGTAATCTTTCTGCAATAAAAAAAAACCATTTGGACTTAATTGATTGAAGATCCATGGTGTGCTGGCAAGTATTTACATCATATATATTTTAGTCGTCATATAATCAATTTTCGGGGGCCAGTCTCTGATCCTTTTGGAAGATATTTCCCTGAATATTCTTTATTTAATGTTGCGCAGCTTTATTTTATTTTACTTTTTACACTACGTTACGTTGAGAGCAGGGGCGGACTGACCATTTGGAAACTTGGGCACTGCCCGAGGTCAGTAGGGGGCCCCATGAGATGCCCTTTGTACCTTTTTCATAGGCTTGTTTGAGTTTGGGCAAGGACACGGGCCCCATGATCCCATATTGCCTGGGGGCCCCATGAGTTATCAGTCCGCCCCTGGTTGAGAGGAACCCTGTACTGACATTGTCATGAATGCCCATCCTCAGCTAATTTCCTGGCTGTTGTATCAGTCAGTTCAGTACAAATACATTACAAGAACTTCTGGCCAGAGACTTGGGGCTCATAAACACGGCCGTACAGCATCCAGATCCTGCCTAAAACACTTTCTCAGGAACCGCCACTGCAGTGTACAGCCGACAAAAGACATGAGATGAGACTGTACGCGGTTATGCACCGCGGGTTGCATAAAGTGCAAGCACAGATAAATGCCCTGAACGCAGATAGTGTGCTATTGGTGCATGCGTCTCTGAAGGTGCTTTACGCAACCCCCAACAAATGACCGCATATAGAAACCTCTTCTATTCGATTTCTATGGGTGGCCTTATGCTGCATCTGCAGGGTATTAAAGTGTTTACTCAAGGTCTGGACACTTTATGGCCTTGTGCATGAGCCCTTATAAATTATTGGATTGGTGGAACGGCCAGGCAACTAGCATATTTAGGATCTATGCACACTGGGCTTTAGAAACCGCCAGTTCCCTTAGAAGAATAAAACGCTCATATAGAGTGTTTTTGTACAGGAATTTAGGATGGTTTTGTGTTTTTTGTATTTTTTTTTTCTGCCAGAAAACTCAAAAAACCGCAAACCAGAAAGGTTGTTTTTTCTAAACACTGAGCTTAAACTATGCCTCTTAACACCCCGGTCACATCAAACCCGACTTTGAAATTGTGCAACTTACAGTGAAGTCGCATAATTTCAGAGTCGAGTGAACTGCCGATTTTCATGTGCGATTTGCAAGACATCTGACACAGATGTCTATGCAATTCAAACCAAAAGTAGTGCATGTACTAGTTTAGAAATCGGTGCGGTGTAATTGCAGACAATAGGGTGCAACTTGGCATGCAATTTGCAAGCCACATGGCATGGAAATCGCATGCCAATTCACATCCAGTGTGACTGGGGTGTAAATGTCCTAATGTGCATCTATACCAGGGCGGACTGACCATTCGAGCACTGGGGCACTGGGTCAGTAGGGGGCCCCATCAAATGCCCCTGGTACCTTTTGTTTATAGGCTTTTTTGAGTGTGGGCAAGGACACAGGGGCCCCATGAGTTGTCAGTCTGCCCCTGATCTATACATAGGATAACATTGAGCTTCTTCTACAAGCAAAACACAAAACTCTTGTAGAAGTAGCGTTTAAGCCCAATGTGCATGGACCCTTAGGAGATATCAGAAGCCCCCATATATTTTTGCCAGGCCATGCTTCCTTTAATTATTATGACGGCGTCGTGTTGAGACGTTGGCAAGTCAAAGAACAAGAGCAACCCATAGCACTCAATCTGTTTTTAGTAGGATTAGATGAAAGCAAGACCCGACTGAGCTGCCAAGTTCACTTTTTTAAATCTAATTAAATAATCATTATTATCTTGGCGTTTTGAAGGTAAATTTTATAATGAAGTGGCTAAAGTGCAACAAAAACCTTTTTAATAACTGGCTAATAATTTTAGGACATTGATGTCCATAAAATAGGTTAAGATGTATTCTCACATGTCCTAGAAAAGTACCTTGAAGTGTTGTCAGCGGTGCAGGCAATGTGTCTCTGCTATGAAGGGGTTAATGAGAACTATAATAAACGTGACAGACTGACAGAAGTCCTAATGATCTAAATATCATTTTGTTGATTCACTTGTCAGCCTCCACTTAGTTTTTCTAGGCACAGAGATGCAGGAAGCTATAGATAGACAGCTGCCTCCTCAGAGCTGAGCATACAGTATGCAACCTGATTGTTCAATCTCATTTAGTTTTACCATCAACTGTGTGGTACAAGAGCCTGCCTGATTTGATCCAAATTGAAATGTTTAGATCGGTCCTCCTATTACACAGTTTTAGTAAACCTAAAGCTGGCCATGCACTAAGCAACCTGTTTGTAAAATCAACTTCAAGTACAAGAGATATGATACAAATTGAATGGATTGTTTAGATCTGTCCTCCTATTACCTTTCTTTGGTAAAGCTTAAGAAGATTGTGTATTCTGATTGTATAGTGTATAGCCAGTTTAAGAGGATAAGTTCCCTCCATGCAGTTAAGCTGGCCATTCAGCAGGGACTGGCCAAGATTCAAATCATTTGTGGGCAGGCTGATTGTGCCCAATTCAATTGTACAACCAACCTGTCGGATTTTTCATGCAAGCTATTGTGTTCTCCCGGAAAGGATAGTTCCCCCACCAAGAGAACACAATAAGTCAGCGAGAGAGATTCCCTTATCAACACTGACTGTGGTTAAGGAAATAAAATCACATCGTCTATGGCCCGCCTTCGTCAGTTGAGTGCTGGGACCCTCTGCAATTCTCATCTGATGGTGACAGTCGTGTATATTCCCTACTCTGCTTTTTATAGAGTGATTTCCAACAAGATGAAGAAGGTGCCATTGTCTGAATAGATCGCCTCTGAATTAGGAAGGGTTTGTCATTGTCCCCCTTATCAGGTCAAAGACCCTAGCTATAATGCTCCACTTTGATAATCTCCAGCCCAGCAGAGCTTAGAGGAAGGTCTGGTCCATTAAGACGCCCATAAAAGTAGAAGGACCACGCACCGTTTCTGCTAAATATTATCATTAATACAAAAAAAAAGTTAGCACAGAACAGACACTTTGATGCATGTCACTGCACGTTCTTTCTCAGAGAAGAAATGACAAGGAACTTCCAACAAGTTGTAGAACTTGACAATGAGGAAATTGTTTTGTTCAACAAGAGCACCTCTGAAGGACATGTCATTGTCCCTTAGGAGGTGAAAAATCAATTGGGTATAGTAAACCATGTTGGGAATTGGGAGCTTTGCTTGCTGTCATTGGGTGGTTTGTGGTTGGCCTTACTATTATTGCATATTTGATTCTCTGTCAAGTTTTTATTTTCTTTGCGGGCTCTGTCCCCATTGGAAAGCTTTCAATCACTTGCCTAGAGATACAGTAGAAAGAGAGAAATCTCCCCAGGTCTGTTATCTCCTACCTGTGACAAATGTCCTCACTGGAAGGTTTTCCCTTGCTACTAGTCCTCAGGACAGAGTGATTCTCCCTAACTGGGTCACATGGGACAATAAAGTGCTAACCCTTCTTAACTCCATCCATGACTAGAAAAGCGTGTTGGTTGGAGTACTACATTAAGGAAGTGAATATCCATGTTTCATTAGATATCCTTTAATTTGCATACATTGGTCTAAGCTTGCAGATGAGAATATATATTAACCATTAGTATGACACTACAATGGAATTCAGTGTTTATTTGTACCTCTTTGTAAAAACTTATCACCAGTACATTGGAACTGTTATCATAGAAACCAAACTTTCAGAGTCCATCTACACCAAAAAGTGTACGAAATACATTGCTTTGATATATTGATGTATATGCGCTGGCAAGCATTGATCAACGCATGGCAGCACATCTGGTGTGAATGGCCTCCTAGTATAATATGGGAAAATATGGGAAAATATAGAATGAGAGTCTAAGGAATCTGCACCCAAGGAAAGGGGTTCTTGGCATGCAGCAGTTAATAGAAGATGTTCTATCTCTTTTGACTGTCAAGGAACTATATACGTGGTCAACAAAACCATCTAAAAGCAATTGGATTGGGAAAATGAGAAAAATCTGTGGGACACTCCTGATCTTTCTGTATCCACTCCCAAGTTAATCAATTTTACGGCAGGCAAAGACATGAGATGACTAAATATGGCAAGATTGTACATTGATCTCATGTCTGTGGGAGGCCTCACATTATGCTTGCCAATCCCCCCCCCCCCCCACCCTTTCCAATAAACCAGCACCCCTCTCCCCACTGCAAAGAGCAGAAAATTGGATCTGCACCATTTTTTTTAAAGCCGCATGCTGCAATACAATATGGTGCTTTACTGTGTGTCGAGGTGGGCTGCAACACTGGAGCATTGGGGTGCCATTAAAAATGAATATCATTAACGCATGTATAGGTGCAGGCAAGCTTTTAAAGTAGCACTGTGACCAAGCTGTCAATTGGATACTTACATATTACCAATCCATACAGGGTTAGTCTATGCTAGCATCAAAGACTGTTGTGCCTCTGAAAAGTGATCTGTCCTTTAATTGCTTTTCAGAGGCATTTGACAGGTAGTAAGGAGGCAATGTGTTGCCTCCTCACCCTCTTTTTTTTTAACCCCTTATTTGCTGCACGACTACTCCGCAACTCTGTGCATTGAGCTCGGTTGGGAGGACAGTTGCAGCGTGGCATTATGTACTTTAATGGGTCTCCCCGCTGAACCTGACATAATTACTGCTATGGATGCAAAGTGCCTTGGACGCAGCATGTGTAAACGCCCAACCGCTGCTTTTGCAGCTAAAGAGGGAGCATTTTGGGGGCAGTAAAACCACAGCTCAACAGCGTGGTTTTACCGCCCCCCTGACCACAAGTGTAAATGAGCCCTTCAGGGTTGAGTCACACCAGGAATGGCATAGGAATGAACTTTGTGTTCTTGTGTGATTCACATGCGGTGTGATTTGAGCCTATTCATTTTCAATCAGCTGGATCGCATCAAGAGTAGTGTATACACTACTTTAAAAAAAACGCACTGCAAGCATGTCACATGATACTTCTGTACCATGCGATCTGATGCAGGCAAAGCACTGTTTGTGACTTGCATTTGGGGTGTCGTTTAACTTGACATCGATACCCACTGCAGATCGCAACTGCAGTGTGTTTTGAACGTGGTGTGGGAAAAGTGCATGGAACATGGCTTTCCCGCACTGCCTTCTGGTGTGAACGGGCACTAAAGATGGAATTGTAGTGTTTTATAAACCAAGAAGGTGGTGTCATCCAGCTGGCGGTGCGCTCTGACAGAGGTGTATGGATCAAAGAAGTGAACAGAATTTAATACTATTTTGGCAGAGAAGACAATTCACATGCGTCATTCACCATTCATGGAGCCCAGTGTAAGATTTTCACTTTGACGGTGTAAAGAGTTGTGAAGAATATGTCCTCTTTGTGGTCACGGAAGACTGATTTTGGAAACACTGCCCTAGGAGGGATAAACTATGGTATATTTACAATACATACATGGGAATTTTAGAAACCTCTAGT